GCCTGTGCGCATGCGTGAAAGCGACGCATGCGCAGAAAGTTTGTAGCTTTGAGGTCCGGATTATGGGTGTCCGAATTAACGACTTTTGACTGTATTCAAAATTTGCACTTAACCTTGATGCAAACTGTACAAAGTTCTCGGATGACAGTTTTTGCATAAAAACGAAAATGATTTAAGCACTCTTTAGGGGTTGGTTGATATTCCTTTAAAATCATGGATTTTAGTTTATTGTAATTATTAGTGGACGCCGCGCCGCGCAATGAATTGGAAGTTGATCTGTCAGCACTATCTTTTTCTTCAGAGCATATGTTTTTTTTTATTTGGCTTATAATTTCTTACTAAATGTAGTATTTCATCTCGATGTACTCCGTCTTTGATATGATTTAAATCAAATTCCTCGTCATTATAATTCGCTTCCGATAGCGAAGAAAGTGACACAGAGGTTATTGAAAACGAAAAAATTTCGATTGACAAATTAGTCATTATTCTCGACACAGCAATTATAAGACTTGAACAGTGGAACTTTGTAACTGAAGAAGAAATTATGTCCTTTTATGGAATTAAAGAGGAAGTATTATCACATAAAAAAACGGAGCAACTTAAACAACTTACATTGAAAGAAATGTTTAATAAAGTAAACAAATATTAAGCTTTTTTTTTTTTGTAAATTTTGATACCCTTTAGATAATAATTGTTCTTTATTTCATAAATTACGGTTTCATATTTTTAATTTTATAATTTCTGCATGCCATCTTACCAGATTTAAACTGATGATCGATAATCCGGAATCGCCGAAGTCCCGACGAGTCCGGATTAACGACTTTTGACTGTATATGCATACACGTCTCTAATAAGTCATATATTTACATACACATAGAGAGAGAGATGCGATGGTTTAGAAGTTGTTGATGTATGTTTATTAGTATTAATGTAATGTGTATCCTCATTATTATTATCATTATTACATAATCTATGTTTTCCTTTTTTACACGTCTAATATATTGTTTACAGTATGTGGGTAACTATGTAATTTCAATTTAAAAGTAGTAAAAGTAATCAGCAGAAAAGTAAAGTCGCACATATACAGATTTAAAAAAAATATTCACCTTAAATTTAATTTTAAAAAAAAATCTATTATATAACAATGACATTTCTTTTCACACAATCAGCATGAAATACGACAAATTTGGTGAACTTTTGGTGGTGAATAATTTGTAAAACAAATCATCATAAATAGCACATCATCACCAAGTCTACTCAATACTGTCTACTCTGAAATTTCCATGATTATAAATTTATTGAATATTTAAACATTTTAAAAATGACTTAGACACTTATACTACAACAAAACTCCATTCAAAAGCAGAACTTTCGACTCATTGGTTGATATCTATGTCGAACACAACTGCGAACAAAACATTTTTGAAAAAGTTTTGAAATGTTCCTCATAGCCAAGACATCCCTTCCTCGGCTAGATGTAACATTTCTCGAAACCTCCCATTTAACTCTTTAAAAATTGAAGCCTTCACTAATCTGTATGTTTAAATACCAACCCCCCCAAAAAAAAAATTTTCGAGAGTTACAGGAATTTTCTCCCCACCCCATCCATTAACACAAAAGAAGAGTGAAGATTTCAAACGACATCCTTTCTACTTTTAACAAATAAAGATTTAAAAAAAAAAAAAAATCCTTTTGGGGAAACTGCATTTGCTAGTGCATACCTTAGGGGAGGGAAGAAAACAGCATCAGAATTTCAGCTGTTTGGGGTCTGAATGAAAGGCTATATGGTCTTCAAAAAGTTAAACCAGTGCCACTAGAATCTCGGTTCTTGGAAATGTCCTACCTAGCCGCATGAGTCCCTAGATATGATATGATAGCTTTGCACTAAACTTTAAATCTTTGTACTTATTTATCTATGTGCTGTGTGATACACACACACAAAGATAAACTCTTGCATTTTAATAAATTCACATGTATTCATTAATGTATTTATTTTAAAATTGTTCAGAAATTTACCTAATGTTGTAGTCACTTTCATCATTCATATATAATAGATGACATTCTACTGTTAGCTAGTTATTAATTTATTGACTTACAAAATGTAATTGTTTTGCTTTTAAGTTAGTAAACCTCATCAATATATGAAAAGTCAACATACTTTAGCAATTTAAAATACAGATTTTAATTGTTAAATAAGTATTACTTAATGCGTTAAAAAATAAAGCACTTGTATTAATTTTCAAATCTTTCTGAACTTTTTCGCATTATTTTCTTTTCCTGCTTTTTTACCCAAGTGTGCAGTGATTGGTTTTTGCTTAAACAAACATGAAAAAATTGCAAGGACTTGGCATCATGCAAACTTCAACGCTAGTACTCAGCCATTCACATCTGCTCATTGTTCCCTGTAGAGATACTGTGACAAAATTCTGTATTCTTGTAGAAATCTTACCAAAGTTTTAAAAAACCGTTAGAATATGGAATACAGCGTAAAAACACGTATGAAAATGTTGACAATGGTTCATTGAAGGATTGTTATGAGCATGCCAAACTCTGTGCCAGAGTTTTGCATATTTTAGGGAAAATTTGGTGATGATGTGTAAGTACCTTCTTTTTATCATACCATTTTTATATATCAACGTGGAGACAAATTTCTTTTACAGGGCAAAGTTTTTATTTCTTTTCTCATGTTGTGCCAGTGTCTTTAGGAATATTTTTGTGCTTTTCTGTAACTATCCCAGTAGCTATATAGTGTTTTTTTTTTTTTTTTTTTTTTTTTTTTAATCTTCAAATAATTTTAAACATTTCTGATCACTAATAACAGTTCTCTAAGAATAGATCACCAATATCAGTTCCTTAAGATAAGGAGCCTTTTTCCTAAAACTGACTTGGCTGGCTACATGGTAATGCTTAATGGCACAGTTGTATTACTGTCTTGAATTTTTTTTTTTTTTTTTTTCCCCTATATGAATTTTGAACCATGAAAACATCCAGATAGTATTTTTCATAACTTTCGATATTTTATTCTAAACTTAGTGTACTCATTTGACAGCAATAAACTGTACATAATGTAATACCCTTAAAATTTCATTCCATATTCTTTAATGAATACAATTTTACCTAGCACATATACTATTTGTTTAAATTTATTTTCAAATAATCATCTGGATTTTGCACTTCTCATGATCTCCCATCTTCATTTATTGACAAAGTGAAGAAAAGGAAATGTAACCAAAAAGTGTTTACACAACATAAATGACATAGCATAAAAAAGTATGTCTTGAGTTCTTTTTAACTACTATGTATCAGTGTTATATTTTTTTACTTGTTAATTTTGCATAAGGCAAAATATGCCTGCATTTTATCCTTTGTTATTGGGGACCTTTCCTCATTTTTTGCATAGTTTTTGTTTATACAGGAATTATATTCTTGTTGTTTCCGCTGGCTGTCATTTCCAAAAAATCATCAAAAAATATTTCTTTCAAAACATCCTCTGCCTAAGTAGGCAGAGACTGTGAAACACCATTTGCTGTCTTGTACTGCTATGATGAAATTTAGGTCAAAGACATGAATCTAATATTAATAAAATTGGCACACAATTGAATTTTTTTAGAACTTTGGACATGTGCAAATTTTATACAAATGTTAATTTATTATTTCAATTTTGAACCACTTTTTATTAAAATTTTTAAGATATAAAAAAGAGATTGCTTAAATTCAAAGCTATTTTTTATTTGTTTCTTCATTTTTAAAATCCTACTTGTAGCTAAAATTTGCAGTAATACAATAATTTGTGTTAAAAATATCGTTTAAGTGTTCATAGTATCTCAAAACTTAATGGTTAAGATATTACAGCTTAATATTTTAACTAACTTAACTTGTATAGTAAGATTATGACTGTAACCATACTTAATGATGTTGTAGGGATTATTTTAATTTCCTAATAGTTATTTTTAAATTTGAAACCCTTTCCTTTATTCTCTGAATTCCCACCTAACTCCTTGCCAAAATGTGTTTTCAGTATAGAATTTTATGTAAATGAGGTAGAATCTGTAGTTGTGGGAAGTCTCAGCCACTTGTTTAGAAGAGCTTAGAAGTTCCCAGTAGAGCATGTTCTGCCTTCTGGCCACATCATTGCTTTAAGCCGAATCTTATTACCTTCGACTATATTGCTGCAGATCTGTTAGTATTCACTGGTGAGGTTTAAAAGGCCAACTCAGTTAGTTATTTCTGTGCAGTTTCAGATAAGTTTTAGTTAGTTTGAATTAATTTGGTTTCCTATTTTTCTGTCTTAAGTTCAAGCCTAAGTGGAGGCTTCTTATAAGTCTGAGAGGGGCCGACTGTGAATATTCTTGAGTTAAAATTAAAAGAAATTTTAACCTTCTTTGGATTTATTGCAGTTTTAAGAAGCTTTTGAAATAGTCACTACACACTTCTCAAGTATTCTAGTTGCCAAGGGCAATAAATTTAGCTAGAATCTTATAATGTAAAATTAATTTCTTTTCTATTAATGTTCATGTTATATCTTCTCAGTGTATGAGGTATTTTGTTGTAGAATTTCATTTTATTAGTCTAAACCTTATTTATGATTTCTGTTTGTTTCTGTCATCTGTAAAATCTTGCTGTATTATGATTGGCAAATTCTGAGTCACAGAATGAAGTTTGCTCTGTGCAACTATCTGAGCTTATGATTGAAATATTGAAATTTTAGACTGAGTGATATTACTTCAAGAAAGCAAACTGAAAAACAAAATCTTAATGCATTTAAATGGGAAAATCTTTCATGAAGATGTTTCCTACTAGTGTTGATCATTGGTAATTTCAGTTTTATTGCCCGTGGCAAAAATTATTTTATCTGCCATTTCCCAAAAAGTCAGATACAAAGGCATTCATCCACAAGAAAATATCTCAAGTGCTTTGCTATAATTAATAATCAATTAAGAATTCTGTTGGAAAATTACTAATTTTGAATAAAATAATTATGATTTCTATTATTATTTTAGGAATGGATACAGGCTATCAAACCATTGTGCTCTCCACAACTTCCAAGAGGTAGGGCACCAAGCCACAATGTAACCGAAGTAAGAAGTCTACATCTGACATTACTAGAAGCTCACCGATTGCCTGTGAGACTTGTACCTCATCCATTCTGTATAATTTCCTTAAATCAAGTGAAAGTTTGTCGAACCCAAGTTAAATGTCCACCTGATCCAATATGGGAAGAAGATTTTATCCTTGAGTGAGTATTTTAAAAAACTGTCCCTCTTGTTTTGGTCTTAGTATTTTATTACTTCTTCAAGCATATACCTTTCTGTAAAATCTTAAGGCTTGGTGTATGGTAAGCATGATTTATTATGTGTTTTAGTATATTGTATCAGGTCCTCCCCTCTTCCTTTCCATGATATAATTTTGAAGTTTTCATATGTACATAAAAATGAGAAGGGAATCATAGAAGGATAAGACCAAAGATATATTACTGTATTTATTCTTTTACATTCTAGATAAGAACTGTCGTTCTCATGATTGGATTAGAGAGACAGAAATGATGATGAGAATAAAGATGTTAACTTTTTGTATCTTTAGGAGTTCTTTGACTTTTTTTTTTTTTTTTTTTTTTTTGAAAAGAAAAAAAAAAGAAAATAAATTATATGACATTTTAATTAAAAAAGTAACTCTGCGTTAAATACATCTATGTAAAAAAATAAAAAAATATGTCTAAATATAATTTAAACCAACCATTTTAATGTTAGAAAATTTTTTGTTAGAAAAGATCATTTGAATTTACTTCAGCTTTTGCCCATTTTATAATATTTTTCTCGTCTCTTTTTATGATCTCATTGTCTGATTTATATACCTTAAAGTTAGATAATATTAAAAAAAATAATTGTATTGTAATTCTCAAAATTGCTAAAAAATAATATTTTCAGTAGTGCACATGTAAATTTTGATGTTTTGTAAAGGAAGGAAAAAATCACCAGGATTGACAAAGTCTTTGTCTAAGATGAGCAAAAGAAAAGGAGTATTTCATGTAATGTTAAACATTACACATCCATATAAGCAAAAACAATTATTTTACTCCAGTTTTTCAAAAAGACATTTTATATTTCCTGAAATAATCAAGTTAGTGGCATCTGATAAGTATCATTGTTCTTTTTATCAGTTTTCCATTTTATCATTGCTATTGTTACTGAAATTATCTTTTATCATTCTATCTTATTATTTTGCAATATTTTAATAGACAAATCAGTGTTGACTGATTAACTGATATGATAAAGACTTGCTTCTTTTTTTTTTTTTTTTTTTTTTTTTTTAATTTACTTGGGAAAATTCAATTTTTGCTTGTCATTATTTTGAAATAAAGGTTTTCAGTGTATTACAAGATGATAATTTCATCCTTATTTCAGAATGCAGATAAGTCTTTATAAGTATCGTAGTTCATTGATCATATAACAGGGTTCGTAGCGGTCCTTATAAGTGCTTATAAGTCCTTATATTTGAAAATAAAATATAAAGGCCCTTATAGGTGCTTACTTTTTCTTTAAAGCCCTTATTTTTTTGTTTTTAGTGCTTATTTTTTGCTTTTTTTTTTTTTTTTTTTTTTAAATGAATGCGCAATTTTACCCCGTACCAAAGCCGAAACTAAATAAACAACTTTTCTTCCTAATATGGAATGTCAGATGGTGAATCATACTCCCGGAAATAGCTTTTCCCCCTTTCTCTGCATGAACATAACCTTTGGTGTGCGCGGAGAGTATAGACAGGTGCCCATCATTCTGTTTGTCAAAGTAGAAAATTCCGGTACATTCGGCATTCTTTTCCTCCCACCCAATACTACACACGTTTGAATTTCTATCAAGATCTTAATAATTTGCATTCTCGTTCCGCTTGGTCAGTTCACATTCGTGTTTATTATGATCGTTATGCTTATATTATGAGCATATGTATGAATGCTTATAATAACATAGTTGCAGTAACTGAAGTATAGTAAACTTCTAAAAATGGTTGTGTTTTAACACAGATTAGCTTTCTAAGGAATAATATTCGGAATGGTTTAAATAAAGCAGTTCTCCCCCTTTCTCTGCAATATCTCGAATATTGAAACTGTTACAGTTCGCTGCAAAACAAGCAACGGACCTTTTTTTTTTTCTTTTGTGTCACTTTCCAATCTGGATTAAATAGGACTAAAAGTTCTGCGGTCTACCAACCCAAGCGAAGAATGATTCTATTCCGGAAATTTAACGCAGTCTGTTGAAAATTAGAATGAAAACCACGCCAGATTGGTAAGTCTTTTTTTTTTTCCTTTAGACGCTGAACACTGGTAGTTCGGTCCGAGGTTCGAATCCCGCGAACTGGCTGGCTGCATGGGCGTTTTCGTGGTTTTCCCCATGTGTAACGTGTATACAAGCCAGTTTCCCTTAGAAAGTCCTCCATGAAGGCATCCCTTCCTTCAGGCGGATAGCCCTCGTGTGCTTTGCCATAATTGAATAATCCAATCCAATCCTTTCTCTTTTCCTTTATTTAGTTCTTTATTCTCCCAATACTGGCAGCTGTTGATTCCGATTGCGTAATATCATGTAGGGAAGAATTACGGCGCATGTATTGCGCAATAACTTTTGCGATATTTTGCAAAGATAATTAATTTTGATGTTCGGTCTGAGATTTGTTTATGAACACTTAAAAGAGTTTTACTGTGCTTGCAAAGCAGAATATTTTTCTGTTCCGTTGGTTTGTTTTTATATGATACACATATCGAATTGTCAAATGCATTTATTTAACGGAAAAACCTAAAGAACGGCTACAGTCTATCCCCCCCCCCCCTCCGCTCCTCTTTTTCAAGTTACGCTTGACTTTCCGAATATTCACCAATTTCCAAGTATGCGGGTAGTTAAGCTTTTACTGTTAAAGTTTACTGTATGAAGCAAATTTCTGTCTTCTGATTTCATAAATGTTCCTCTTTTTTACTTTAATTACTTTGCTTGCAATATCTATTAAGGGAAAACTGATATACGATGAAAATTTAGAAAATGTTCAGAATTTAGATTTAAATTAGTTAAATATCAATGTGAGTGGAAAAATAAATTGTATTTATTATTAAGTTCCAAGCGAATAGAATAAATATGCCTTATTATTATTTATTTCCTCTATTTCAAACTGGAATTTCATCATTAAATCTTGTAATATAGTTTAGTTCTGGATAGTTTTTTCCTCTCATTGTAAACTAGTTCTTTAAATTGAACTGTTATTCAAAATTTAAAAAAAAAAGTAATTATTTTCCATGTTTGAGGTAATGCTTATTCTCTCTTAATAAATACTGCATTTCTCATATTTTAAATTATGAGTCTAATTTTTAAGGCTATGCAGTTGTGTATAATGTAATTAGACAGGTGCTTATTTTTTTTCTTAAAATGTGCTTGAAAAGTGCTTATAGGTGCTTATTTTTTTAACTAAAATGTGGCTATGAACCCCGTATAATATAACATTATTTTATTATAATCTATTGAACAATGTAAAAGACATTTGAGAGAGGATGTATAATCATGCTTAATCATAATTAATTAGAGATAAAATACATTAACTGCAGTGACATATTTCTGTGAGTATAAAAGTTTCTGAGAAATTCTAATTCATCAGTTGAAGATTTTTATGTGCATTCAAGTACCAGTAATCCCAGAAACAATGTCTGTGATTAAATGAAAGCCATGGTTGATCCCAAAGTAGTTAAAAAATAAGAAGAAGGAAGGTAGCCCATATTTGAAGAAGTCATTTGGTTGCATAAATTGAATCAGTATTCAGAATAAGAAGCACACACTCTAAATAATAAAAACTTATACAACGTTAGAAATTAAGAAACTTAGTTGTAAATTGCACTAAAAACTGCAATATTTACAAAAGAATTTGAATGATAGTATTGATGTCAAACTCGCATAAAAATGTTGGCTAAAACTTATTGTTTTGGCCAGAGTTCACTTGGAAGACATCATCTGCTGTCACTGGGATTTGTCACAGAGGCTGGTCCTAGCAATCTATATTTTTCAAGTGCCTGCATTATCAGCTTTTAACAGTAATTTAGTTACATGTTGATAATGGGCATTACCATGTTCAATTCTGGAAAGGGACTTGAAAAAATAGCTATTGTATTCAAGGAAATTGGCAGGCATACAAATTATGTACTTTCAAAATGGAGAGATAGTGACGAAAAAAAAAGAGTATAGGACATTTTTGAGATTCTATAATTGGAATGAATGTAGTTAAATTATCCTAATTGTTTTCCCTTTGCTTTTGTAGATTTTCTGTAGACAGGTTTCATTTTATTTTGATGGTTTGTGATAGTAACTTTTCTTCCCTCATTTTGCAGTTTTAAATATATGTGTGTGTACATTTTTATTTAAATTTTTATTACTTGTTTATTTATTCTTTTGACTATAATTGTAGCATTTTAGCAGGATAATAGCTGAAGTACTTAAACTGGAAGAGAAACATGCAGTGTAAAACTTAAAATTAGACAAAGTGGTAGCCTTATTTTGGTATAGATTTTGAATTCGAAATGTATGCCAAAATGAGGTTGTTGTTTTGCTTAATTTTTGAAAAACTAAGAAGGGCTAGCACCCTTAAGGTCATATCACACATTCAAAATGTTTTGGAAGAACAATTGCTTTGCACAATTTTTCTGCTTTGTCACACAATATAAAGTAGCCAATCACTATGGATCACTTTAACTAAGGAAAACGGGAAAACTAGTTCTCCATTTCAAATGATAGTTGGTGATGAAGATTCAATTCTGATAGCTAATTTGTTGTTAGAAACAAACAACCTAGAACTTTTTGCAAAAGAAAGGAAAAAATTGTGAAAATTTCTTTCAGTGGTGAAGGTGGTAGAAAAACTGCTTAAAGCAGTTGTTCATCTGAAAGAAATGGATGTATGATAGTAGCCTTAGAGACAAACAAGAATTCATCTTAGGTTATTTTATTAATTTCTTCATTTTTTTAAAGTCTGAATAGAATAAGAAGAATGTCGATGTCTTTGTAGTAAGACATTTAACTATTATCTTCATTTAGCCATTATATGGAATGATTATAAGCATATTCTCCATTAAGATGAGGAGAAATTTTTTAAAAATCTCTCTTAATAGCAAAAAGAGAGAAACATGTACCAGTAACATTGTATCTTAAAACTTTAAATACCATGGTCACTTTTTTAGTAATAAGGTTGTTTTCACTTTTTTTTACATGAACTTTCTTTTAATTTATGTTCTTGCATTGTTTTTTTAATGATTTAAAAATAATTTTTATGATCTAAGGTACATGAAATCATTGATATAAATAATAGTATAAATTAAGCTAATAAATTCTATAATAGTTATAGCTGTTATTTTTAATCCAAAAATGTACAGTCAACAACAATGATGAATGGACACAAAGTTACAAAGTTCAACAAAATTCGATTGTTGAACAGTGGAACTTCATAAATGAACTATAAAGTATGTTGCTATATGAAAGTTAGAGAATGTATTGACACATAAAATGAAATTGTTTAATCAATTTATGTTGAAAAAAGAATTTAATAATAATTTAAAAAAACTGTTATCTTGGAGCTTTTTTTCCTTATAAATTTGTATTTTCTTTAAAAGCATAAATAAGTGTTTCATTGTTTCATAACCTGTCATATTTTTTAACAATTCCAAATCATTGAAAAATTCATTGAATTTAATTACTTGAGAAACGGAATTCTTGAATTTTGATTTCATAGCATTTCAGGGTTATGTGTAGGTGAATATTTATGAATCAAAATTTAACAATGAAAGAGGCTGATATAAAGTAATGGGGAGAATGTTTTAAGTTTTTAACAAATTTAAAAGCATTTCATAGAGTATTGTTTTAGAATTATTGGAAAATATTTAGAAACTAAATGCTCGACCAATGGATGTGAACCAACCCCTCTGATGCCACAGAATGCTATTTTAGGGAAAATTTTATAAACATGCTTTTCTTCTGCTTAAATCATGTGGAAAATGTACATATAGTAAATTAGCTTTCTTTAAGGTGTTCCGTGTGATAATCAAATTTATTCAATTTTATTTAGTGATTTTAATTTTATTTAAATATCTTCATGATTTTTTCTTTAAATCTTCTGATTTCCTAAGTAGAGTTTGCTGAATGCATATTGTGTTATAGTATATATATAATAAATGTAGAATATGGTGAGTGGAATTAACTTATAGCACATAATAGTTTGTTTCTGATGAAAGTAGATAGATCATTTGTCATTTTGAAATTCATTGAGACTTTGTATTCAACATTAATGCCTAATAAAAGTTGGCTTTCATTATTAAATAATGATTAAATCAATTCCTCTTTCTTCCTTATTCTTCGTGAAAGGTGATACCTGTTTGGAAATCATGGGAATTGGGATTTCAATGCTAATCTTTTTTTCTGATGTGTATTGAGAAAATAGTGTTTTGGGTTTTAAGAAATATTTAAATTATAATCATTCTGTTTGTCTGCTGTTGAAATTATTTATTTTATTCTTTTTAGTTTTGAATGTATTAAACATACAAACTTGTTTTCTTTTTATGTTAGAGCTCAATTTTTTTTTCCTCCCGCATGAGTCAGAATTTCTTTCTTTGCTTCATGGTTTGTTGTATCTCATATTTTTCAATTTTATATTTGTGTCAAAAATTAAAAACTTATTTCTTAATTTTGGTGAAGAAATTTATTTTAAGGCTTATTGTTTTAAATTATTATTAAAAATATATGAAAAAAATTAAATTAGATTTTTATTAAAAGCAGTCAAAATCTTAATTTAAAAATTTGTTTAGTTTATTGTATTTGACAATTTGTTTGATACTGTTTTTCTAGAGACATTCCATCTGATATCACATCTTTTGCTATAACACTGTACAATAAAGGAAAACGTTCTAAAGATATGGAAATAGGTAAATTTGTTCTTTGGTTTTTCACTGTTAATTGACTAATTATATTTATCTTCAATAATGTATCATGTATAATAATTAAATTAATGTTTCATAATTTATGTATCACATAATAAAATGTCATGCTAATTTTTTACTAGCGGATGTGACTGTAGAATTAGAAAATTTAATTAGTGGTGAAGAAATAGAAGATTGGTTCCCTCTTGGTGGTCTGACACCTCCTATTCGAGAAGACTGGGGTTCTTTGCGTGTTAGAATACGCTACATTCATGAAGTTATAATGCCATTAGCTGAATACAATGCACTAAAAGAGGTATTAACTGTGATTTATTATTACGTAATGAATTTTTATTTAATAACGCTAATGGTAGTTTTTCTTACACATGATGAAGTTTTCTTTTCAATGTCCTAAGACAATGGGATGAAAGTATGCACCATTGCTAGAAATAGGAAAAGAGTGTGTTGTAACTTATTGAGACATATTCACGTCATAAAAATTGCATTGGAAAGGTTTCCATAGCATCTAATGATATTTTTCAGTTGTGCATATAAATTTCATGTAATCATATGTAATAGCTATATACCTGGTTTCAAACTTTAGTTTCTACATGATGGTGTTTTGCCATATACTGTGAGGGTTCTTCATATGAGGATCTCCAACTCTTTAAATATTGTGATCTAATAGTTCTAGACATTTTTATGAGCAATGCATGTAAAGTCCAACGTGGCTATGCTGTATTTAGGAACCTGGTTGATCGATTACAGGTGATATACATGAACTGATTGTACTGCTGTTTTGCAGTATGTTATGTGAAATGTTTACGTACAGTCACAACATTTTACTAACTTTTATGGGAACCTCATCTCTAATGCAGATTTTAGTCTATAAGTGTGTCTTAATAAATGCAAATCCTTTTTTTGTTTTTAACAGTTCTATTATATATTTGTGATTTGTTGGCATAAACACCATTGGACTGAGCCTCACCTTATGCAGGCAAAACAATTGCAGAAATTTTATATAAGTGTTAATGCTTGTAGGAAAACTTCTCATGACAAACTGTGACCATTCACCACAAAGTCATCAGTATTTCTGAAAAACTAACAAATATTAGTACCAAAATGACTTGTCTAAGGTAAGCATTACCATAAAAGACTAAATTCATCTGCGTTTTACTGTATACATATTTGGAAAAATTTTTAATATAAAGATTTTTGCATCCTATGAAAAGTCAGAATTGCAGAATGTTATTATAAAAATATTTCTCAAATAGCATTACTAGCCTGAAATAATTTTTTAATAATTTTCCTGTGACTTTAAAAATTTTTTTAATCTAGGTTTTTTTTTTATTTTTAGTCATTATATATTTTATTGATAAACATAGTTTGGGTAAATCACAGCCTTAAGACCCCCTGAAGTCTTGCTAATATTTTATTCAACAAAAACATTCTGTGTAATAGGTTAAGGGGAATATCTTAATATTATTAACTTATGCTGTACTATAAAAGTGCTGCACTTATGAAGCACTATAAAAGAGAGAGAACAATAAGTGGTTTTGAATACTAAATAACAATAAGTGGTTATGTATAAGTGGTTGAACAATAAGTGGTTATGTATTTTTTTGCTGTTCCTTTGGATGCAAAGCTTCAGTGTGCCTCATGAATAAAAAGGCATTGATTTGAGTAAAATTCTGAATTTGACAAAGGGAGATCTGTGGCCCTTAAAGATTATGTATTACCTTTCCAAGAAATCAGTGCTCATACTCAACTCACCATGATAAGAATCAGTGAGTGTAAGAAGAATCAATTAGCAGATGGGAACAACCAGTTTTGTAGCTCACCGAATGAGAGAACAGCTATATTATGCTCATGGTAATGACAGCAATATTAAGAAACCTAGCATATAAAGATTTTGGTTGCACAACAACATGTGTCAGCATGTACTGTTCGATAATGTCTACAGAGAAGGCAAATCTTTGCAAGGCATCTATTGCCTAGAGCAATACTATTACAGTTGTATCTGAGTCTGATGACACTGGGACAGACATCTTGACTTTTGTATTATGAATTTTCTTGTGTTTATGGTTTGCAATGTCTTTTGATTTTACTACGGCACCCACATAAATATGCATTGCTGCCACAGTCAATTGCCATTGCATGTCTGAGTTCTGCAGTCTGTTTATTTAAGTTTTGAATGTCTTCAAGTCTGCAACATAATTTTAGGACAGATTGTGATTGCACATGCTTTGCAATGTTCACAAATTTTTTGTTGTTTACTTGGTCTTCTGCTGTCTAGACCTTCCTATTCTCTTTGTATATTACTCACTGAACTCCTATGGTCAGTGGTTGGTAAATGAGTGACCCAGCATTGCCTACAGCTATGCCAGAGGAACTTTGGCAAGCTATGGGGGAAAACAGCAGGGACTAACATGTCCCAAGCACACATTTAAAGCCTTGGTTTTTCAATTCTAAACTGTATTGCAGCATTTATTGCCAGCAAAGGGGGCTACATAAAATACCAATTTTTTTCATAATCTGTGAGTTAAACAGAGCTAAAGTTTTAATTAATTCACCTTTGCACCTTATTGTCCAATAACTATAACAGTGATATCTGTTATTCATGATGTTGCATTTTAGGTGGCTAGCATTGTAATCAGACTTAAAACAACCTGTGTATATATTTATGTGGTACTGTAGAAGACTAGATATTTATAATTTTTTAATATCTTCAGTGTCATAGCAGAAGTATATTTTCAATGGTAACTTCAGTTTTGAGAGCAGAAATTAATCTTAAAAGAACAAATCTGAGGAATAGGATCAATGTTTAAGAATGCACACAATTTTTTTGGGGGGATGCTAAAAAATCTTGTGCATATTTTGAAGAAGGAACTAATTGCATGATTTTAGATATGACCTGAATATCTCTTCAAAGGATGAACTGTTCTGCCCATATGCTTGTCTTATAAATTTAAAACGAAACTTGTTCTTTGCTCCATGTTGTTTATGTAACAAGATTTTTACATTAACTAGTATGTGAAATGGTGCTGTATTCTTTCAGTATGCTTAGTAGTGTCATTCTGGATTACGCCTGAAAGTTGGCCATTTAGAGAATGTATTAGTTAACCAATGGTGTTTTTATCTTAGCCACAGCAAAATTAGTCTCATTATTTAATTATCAAACCATGTATATCCTAATTATATTAGGAAGCTGTAAATAATTTGTATAGCTTAACTGCACAATTCTTTAGAATTTTTTAAATACATTTGTTTAATGTAATGTTTTGATAAAAATAAAATGTTTGCAAATGATACATACATTTTTTTCCTGGAATCAAAATCTTAGGAAGTTATCAAATGGTGTGATTTTGAAGGTTGTTTTTTTGTTTTGTTTTAGCTTATAATGGAGGAAGATTTAGAAGTTGTGAGTGTTTTAGCCGATTTGTGCCATAGGGACCGGACTCCTCTTGCAAATGCTGTTTTAAGAGTATTTAGATTTGAAAGAAAAGAAGCCATGTTATTAAAAACTATGAATGACCGAGAAATACAAATTGAAGGTGATTTTTTATTGCTTATAATAATGTGTTGTCTATTTTGCATTGATGTTATTTTCAGTAAATAAATATAATTATATTAATAATCAAAAGTTATTGCATTATTTTTAATTATTATGATCTTTAATTATATAGTAAACTATCCTTAGATTTCTTTAAACTGCTGTAAGATATATTACTTCACGCTCAAATATTTATTGAAATGTAGAATTTTGTGCTTGATTTGAATCTTTAATCCATAATTGTGTAAAGTACATTTTTTTACTAAAATTAAACAATGATAAGGTTTTGTGCATTTATTTAACTTTAATTTTTATCCACTGAATGTGAAAAATAACTTTAAAATGTCCGTTTTGATTATTTTTATCAGTTTCATCAATTTTGATATTTATAGAAAAAATGTAAATATTTCATAACTTTTCCTTTGACAATATCATTTTAGAAAAGATACGTTACCAGACTCTGAATTGCCATCAGATGTTGTCATTCAAAAAGAATTGCCAACACTTATTTTTGGTAGAGAGATTTTTGGTAGAGCTGGTGGTTGCAAATTTTTGCTTTTTGATAGGCAACTTTGGCAGTTCATACTGATAGGCAAACCTTTGAATACAAATATTAAAAATTTAAAAATAAACAGCTATTACGTTGATTTACATAGTTGATGAAAGTAGAATATTATGCATTTGACCAGGAAATAATGTATTGAGTACAACATACACACATTTGAATGTGAAGTTAAATGTAAAAAATATGTATAAAATAAATATAATAATTGGAGTGCACATTTTAACGTATTTAGGTATAAAATTCTATGCATAAAATATTGTTACGAATTTGGTATTTAAAAAGCTAATGTTAGTTCAATTATAAATTAAATGGTTTTATTTCTCGCGCAGTACAGCGCGTGACGAATATTAAAAGAAAGCTAAGCCAGAAAAATTAAAAATACAAGAGCGCGTGCGTTAAATAAATAAATATCTCTTTTTGATTTCGAGAAAGTACTGGAAAATTCTAGCGCGTGATTTTAAAATCTTATAAAAGGAGGAAAACATCTCAGTTTGTAGTAGTTGCTAGTTGTTGTTGTTTAGAAAAACTGCCGTTGTTGATTATAGCGAATTCGCGGATTAGCGTTCTTTAGCTGTTTTGAATTACGTTCTATTGTACATTTAAGTAGTAAAAGATAACTACTGTGAGATATTGTGATACTGCATGATAATTTGAGAAAATTTAAGCATTTCTGTTGTGATAATAATAAATTTTTGTTCATTTTTCATCGGACTTGTGCATTCATTTCATAACGAACCCGTACGCACGCAACAATATAAAGAATATAATGAAAGTACTTTATGTGTGTAAAATGCTGTCCATAGAAGTTATAAATAATTTAGAACAAAAAAGGGAGATAGCCAAATTAAAATGTCAAATAAGAAAAGGCTATTGGCTAATTAACACATTAACGTGCAAATTATTTTAGAATGAGAATTTTTGAAAACTATTTTTAAAGTACATTTCATATATCGTAAATAAAGCAATTATGAAGTTTTATTAAATTACCGTAATTAGCAGTTCAGATAATAGGTGATCTATAAATAGATCGCTAGGCACATCTGATAATAAAAGAACAAGTAACTGCCCTCTGATCTTTTGTTTAAAAAATGACAAATTTAATTTAAATTTTTTTTTTTTTTTTTTTTCAAAATTAAAACCAACTAAAAAGATTTAAAAGAAAAAAAATATTTTGCTGATTTAAACTTCATTAGTTATATTTTTATTGAGCAAATTAGCAATATTTAAGTGTGATATAGTGGAAAACATTTAACACAAGGTTGTGTACAAAACGTAATAGGACTTCCCTTACATTTTTTAAACTAGCGCCTTCTTTGGTTTCATCTTTTACCTATAACATGGTCTTTTCTATTGAAATATATAGAGCCTATCACTTTGGTCTCGATGATATTACCAAATTTCTTCCAATGCTTTTCTTCGAATTTGTTCCTCAATTTGAAGTACACAACAGCGATATGTCTTCAGATGTCTTTTATACCCTTTTTCGCTACTCGTGTTCCAAGCAGTTCATTCAAAGTTTCAGGAGTATTTTCAAAATTCTGCACACCACAGTATAAGTCAAAATTATAACAGTAGCCCTTTACTCTATGCATGGCCCATGATTTATAGCAAAACTGATTTGCCTTTAAGAAATCGTTTGAAAAAATGATGACCGTAATATCTAATGATCATTTCACCAACAGACAAATTTATCAAAAATTCCAAATTTTGGAAAACTGTGATTAAATATGCTTGATTAATTTTCTTATTTTGAATGCCCAGTCTGATTTTTGCATTGCTGCATAATTAGTGTTGGCAAAATGAATTACAGATTTAATTTCTAAATCATTTAGAGGAACCGAAATTAAAAAATAATTTCTAAATTATTTTTTACTATTGGTACCATGAGATTTTTCTCTGACCAGTAATTATGTTCATTATGTAAAGTATGGTAGCCAGAGAAAATCAACAAACCAATAAAACTCTTCAACTTAGCAATTGTAACTGAAAACTTTGGCTTATTTTTCCACACTTTCACATACCTTTCTGTTTCATTTATTACACATTCGTAAAATTCGGAGGTAAAAATTCTTCGAAAATTCCAAATGGATTCATATTTTCTAAAATATTTAAAATGCTCAAAAGATTTTCACCAAACAAATTACCTTATCTGTTAACCCTTTGACGCTCGTCAAATTTTTTTCTCCTCTTCTTTCCGAAATTTTTGAGTGAAAATCGATTGATTGCTGATCTTTTACCTCTAAATAACACAAAATGATTGCAGAATAATACATGTTTTAGGTCTTAGTACTTTAAAATTTTGCTTTCAATGAGACAAAATAACTTCCTTTTATTAATATAAAAAACTTTAAATTTCAAAAGTTATTCATTGCACATCATGATTTCTATCATAAACAATAAAAAATAGCAATAATTAAACTGCATATATAAAGAAAATCCTCTTATATGTATGGCATTTGCTTTGTGGTTTGAGGGTGCGACCACGGCCCCACTAGAGCATTGTGTCATAATGCTCTAGAGGCTCGGTGGTCCCGCCTTGAAACCACTGCTCTTCACAATGGCGTTTGCTTCTCAATGGAGTTCACTTACTTTTCAAATAGGGAATCTTTATTTTTACCCGGATATAGATAAGGGGTTTTGAAACCACAGAGTTATTTTGTTAGTAAACAAATAGTAAAAAGGTCTTTCTTTTCTAGATGCTTTTCTCTGACCTCAACATGCTTGCTCCCCAAGCTAGTATTGTGATTTTATAAATTATTTCCTGTGGTTTAAATTTAATGTAAATATACTTTGCTATAATTAAAAATAGAAATCGCTTAAAATTTTATTTAAATTAAAAATATTTTCTGAATATTTTGGGACAAAATACGAATAAAATAAGTATGAATGGGAAACAAATGATCCGTACCAAAGCCAAAAACACTGAGCCCCCTAATTAACATAAAAAACCCACAAATTTCATGTGTCAGATGAAAAGAAACTAAATAACGCTGGACATATACCAGTGAAATTTAGATCCAGGCAGTATACATTTTGTAGCACAGGGAAGAAACCTCATAGAAGATACACGTGCGAAACGGGCAATGTGGGACTATGCATGTACCAAAAAGACAAAAATGCTTTGAACAGTGTCACAAAAAAATTTGTTGTTTGAAATTTAAAAAAAAAAAAAAAAAAAAAAAAAACACCGAGTCTCTTTTTATCCTTATTTTACTGAGTTTTTTTAATCCATTTAGCCAAACGTCCTTATTATGTAGGTACTTATATTTTCACTGCTACAGAAAAATTACTTAAATGTTTATTAATTTTTTCTGACAATTTACTTTGTAAAATAATGTAAAAAAAAACTATATAGAATGCAATTCTTACATACAATTTTTTTAAAAATTCGTAAATTTCATCATTTATTGGAAACTTGCACGGAGAAAGGTAAGTTCCCCCCCCCTTCTACCTCAGTAAGTTTCAAAGTCCTAAACGTGATGGGATTTCACAGTGCGACCACCACCCAGAGAACAATGGGCAAGAGTAGAGTTTTTTAAATTCATATATTCTCTGTCTCTACGATCATAATATTCAATTTCTGCAGTTTTTAGTTAAAAAATTATAAAAATAATATCGAACGCATCAAGGGGTTAAAAGCATAAGTAGGGATACTTTTTGTCTAATTTACTTTTGGCTGCAATTTTTTTTTATATATATAATTTCAATTTAATTCTCTTTTATTTTCATTTTCATTACTGGCGCTAGATGTAGATGGCAGCTGCTTTAATGTTAGGTCCAAAATCATTTATGCTTTTCTCGACAGAATGATCATTTCACCATCATCAAAGCACTCTTCGTCAGCTAACTCTTCCACCTCTGGCAGTAAAGTAATGATATCTGACTCAGTCTTCTAAGAAAACATATATTCTAATGCTTCTTTGGTGGTGTGAAACACTTTATACCTGGACATTTTGGTAAAAATGAAAAGGGAGAAAAACAGTATTACCCTGACACCCAGTGATCTATTTATAGATCAGCATGTTTAAGCTAAAAATTTAATTATAAGAACAGTTATCTTTCTAATCTAAATAACACAGAACAATTAAAAGGGTATTGAAAATGTAGAACACGTAAGAAAAGTATAACTTACTTTTAAATATTTTTCCGTTGGATACAAAATCGAAAGCTGTGCTATGAAGCATCACTTGGTTAACTTCACGTGTAATCTGCTGCTCTTTTCTGGAAAAAAATGTTTCAAAATGTCTTTGGGGGTATGGCTACATGTGTAAAGAAATCAGCTAGTGACAAAAAAAAGTGATTGAAAAATATTGTTTTCAATGGCCTTTCTAAAAGTAGGTGATCTATGAATAGATCACTGGGTGCTTATGGGTTAATGTTAATAATTTTGAATTACATATTTTATGTCTTACATGTATTTTGCTTATATTCTTATATCTTAGATATATTCATTTGTATATATAACTAATATTTCACAAAGACCAGAAATTGAAATTCATGATAAAAAAATTTCAAATAATTATATAAATGGAACAAAGAATTAAAAAAAATATTAAAACCAAAACATTTCAAACCAAGGAATCATGTGAACACCAAACACTCTGTCTGACCTAATACTTTAGGGATTTTTTGAAGTGATGTTAGTAATGGAAATATATCCAATTTTCTTTTAAAAATGGATTTAGAATGGTTTGCTTCTCTATTTACATAAAGTAAACTCAGTAAGTTTGCTATTTGCATATTATTGGGATTTATTTACAAACAAGAATTTCTCATCTTCTGGCATTTTATGTAACATAAGTTTCGGATTTGAGGATAACAAAAAAAGTTTTCCTGTGAGATAAACTCATATTTATAACCTCAAGTTTGATATTGTAAAAATTAATACTAACAATGAGCTTAAAAGAAGAGATTATTAAGATTTGGTTTTTATCATGTTTACGTTGAGACCAACGATAACCCAAGCCCAAAAGCGGCTGAGCAGTAGAATTGCTGAACACCGGTAGTTTGGACCTGGGTTCAAATTCGGACAAACGGGCTAGCTGCATGGGCATTTCTGTGGTTTTCCCATGTGTATACGAGCCAGTTTCTCTTAGAAAGTCCTCTACGAAGGCATCCCTCCCCTTAGGCCAGTAGTCCTAGTTTGCTTTGCCAAAATAAACTAAATCAAACCAAACCAACAGTGACTTGAATAGAAGAAAATATTTAGATTTTGATTCTGGTTTGTCATCATAACCTAAAATTGAATGAAAGCTAAATGTGTACTTACCCATGTATAATACCAGAAAGAATACTTAATATCTTCATCTGTCAAACACGTATTCATTCATAACATTAATGTTGTATAGAGTTAGTTACATATTTATTCTTGTTATTTTTGAATTCATTGTAGAACAGGACATTAAAGGAAGTTATATCTTGAAACGTCACCAAAGTCACTAGTTAAATTTCAATGTCAAGCTCGCAGAATACTATAGGACATTGTAGGAATGAAAAATGTCCATCTGTTTTTAAAAAAATGTGCTGTTTATTCAACCTCATTCATAGGTATGATAATGAGATATTAAAGAAGCATAAGGACTTGCTGAAGAAAACTATAGCGCTGAATTGGCATAGGACAAAACGTTACCAGGTATGTCTTGCAACCTTCAGTCACATGTGCGAGCATAACACTAAAGAGGGAAGAGAGTTAGGGAGTTTCAAAACTGGTTTATTTATAGTCTTTTTAGTCAGTGTCTGTTACCACAGTTGAAATGGAATTTGCAGAGAAAATGTGAGGACTTGCTTTTACAGATTTGTTGGAAGTTTCCTACAACAGAGATAAATTAAAGGCTTGAATACCATACTTTCAAGCAAAACTAAACAAATGTGTTTTTACTTCAGTGTAAAATTTGTAAAACTCTTGGTGAAAAATTGTGATTAAACATATTCCATATTTGGTATGCCAAAACTATAATATTATGTTAATTTTTGAAAATTCATGCATGTAGTTAAGAATATGTATTATTGTTAGAATAATGTATAATCAGTTTCATTTCTGTGCTATAGTTCAGTATAATCAGTTTTCACATTTGTTGTAGAAGATACCACAACGTTGTTCAGATCAGCTTCTCTTACAACAACTCTAATGGATCATTATATGCGTTCAACAGCCAATGGATTCTTACATCAAGCAGTTCAGGATTTTATTCTGAAGGTCATGGATAGTCGTCAGTCATGTGAGGTTGGTTTATGGAGTGGTTTCAGTAAATGTATAAAAATAGATTTTCTTCATAGATATATTATTTATTGTGTTTTTTACTACCTTCAAATATTCATAAATTTCTGAAAGCTATTTTATATATTTCAGCTGAATCCCAGCAAATTAGAAAGCCCCATTGAAGCTTGCACTAATGCTGAAAATATGTTAGGTCTTTTAGATGAAGTTATTGAATCTATATTCTCATCTATCGATGCATGCCCAAGGTATGAACAAATTATTTTTTATGCCAATTTCTGTGATTTGCAGTTCAAGAAATGTAAATTTTGTCTTGAAATAAAATTAGCTGTGTAATGTATTGCTACACTATTATATTTAGTGCTTGTCGTCTGCAGTTTATTTTGGGAATTAAAACTTTTTTTGCATCATATTCATAAGTACATATTATTATGAAAATAGCCAAGAAACAGTTTTTCATCTCCCCCCATTACAAGGCAGAAGAAGTCATTTTGGTTTGTAAGGTACACTCAGTCCCCCCCCCAAAAAAAAACTACTTTTCTATATCTCCCATTCTACTGGGCTGATTCATGAAATTCAGCTTGTTTTTCTTTTTTTTTTTTTTTCATTTGGTATATGTTACATTGTAATTTAAAATATGTTGCTTTCTTAGTTTCTTTAATAATGTAAATATCATCTTATGAACTTATGGAATAGAAGTTTATGAAAACAGGAACTGAAATAAGTAATTATAAAAATTTAACTGGCAGAAGTTCTTTAAACATATGTCTTCATGAGTAAATCCAAATAGTTGTCTCTTTCAGAATGTTAAAGTGCATCTGTCTGCTGGGTGAAATAAGTACTACAACTGCACATACACAGAGGTTCTGAAAAGTAATAAATTGGTTTGGATAAGTCTGAAGCTTTATTCATTAAAAAAAGAAAAAGAAAGAAGGGGGAAGAAATATCTTTGTTTAAAACTCATAAGGTATTTTTCCCACCTTCTTAGTGTAGTGGTCATCACACTGAGCTGGTATTTCAGAGGTCCATGGTTCGATTCCCGGCGAAAGCAGCGTTAATTTTTCAATCTCTCTTGCTTCCAAAAAATCCTAATGTCTCTACAAACTAAGACTTAATATTTAGAGAATGTGTTCCCTTCTCCCTATAAATTAAACATTCATAAAATAAATATCATCAAAATGATATTAGTGTCCTGTTCTCCCAGCATGTCAAATATTTAAGTATTGCATTAGGCTTTGAAGCAAATGGTTCATAAATTTCAAGATGTTTAATCCATGTTTCACCATCTAATAGAGCAAAATTATGTTTTAACTACTGCTAATAAGCTATTCAACTACAAAACCTTGCTATGTCCCATAATTACCTGTATTGTTCTGGGCTTTTATATGTATAGGACATATATTCTCCTTTAGAATTCAAAATATTATAACTTCATCAACTGAATGTTATACATTGATGCCTTAGAAAAGTTGTGATTCACAAAGAACTCAAGCGTTCAACACAGTATGTAGTCTACTATGAAAACATACAAAAAATCCTACAGTATTATTCGAAGGTTCAATAATGAGTTGATTCTTCTTTAGAACTATGATACTTCTTACTTGGTCAAGAGAAAAAGATGAAAGATCTGTGGTAACTGGCAACATGTTGCGTTGTTGACTCCGTGTGAGGATTAGTAACTGATTAAGTTCCTATTTTGTTTAGTACATTGTTGAAGTTGTTGAGTACCTACTGCATTAATTTGAACTCAAAACAAATTTTAAACCATTACATATATATAATAATATGGAAAACATAGAATAATTAATGTAGGTAAGATTACTGTCCTCGTTATGTGCAGAGCATTTTGGCATGTTGTTCTAATGGAAACAATCTTCAGACTGAATTAGCCACACCTCCTTAATTTCTTAGTTGTATTTTACATCCTCTGATTTGTTATATCTGGAACGATATCAGACGGAAAACAAGATCATTAGTTCGTCTGCTGTCCTGAAATCGAAAGAGGCTTTGACAAGAGACGCAGTGCTAAAATCTCTTGATACTGGTTGTGAAGTTACCTCTCTTGTTCTGTCAACTGAAACAATGTGTCTGCGATGTCAAACCATGTCGTCTGACACATCATAAGAGCTGAAAACAGTGACTTGGGAGACTGCACACAGGATTTTCTCATCCCTGTGTGGTTCACTGCATACTACCCTTCCGGTATCATCGTGATGGTGCGTAAAAATCAGGGAAATGATATGTCTGCCTGAACGAATTTGACAAGTATTTGGTTTGGTACGATGGGCAGATCTAGGTTTCAAAGTATTAGGAGAGCAAGTATCCATGTTGATATTCAACAGAAATGCTGGTTTCTTCACCTGGTCAGTTGAGACTGAAACAATTTTTCCATGAATAGATAATTTGAATGCTTTTTCACCATGTCTGAGAACTTTAAAAAGGCACTTGTACAGTGGTTGTAGTGGCCATCGTACTGCATCACATTGCACTAACACATTTGAACACATTTTAAAATCTTAATGAATAAACGCTGCCTTTGCTTTATGTGATCCAATTGGTTTGGGTTTAAGGTGCTGTGTGCAACTTCAAAGTGTCGAAAAAATCACCCAGGAGTTTAATGGTAGTTTCATACACAAGTTCAGCAGGTGTGGAGCTGATGGTTTCTTTGAGAGCTGTTCTCAACCCAAGTAGCACAGTTTGGTAAAACCTCTGTCCATTTTAGGGAATCATGACACATTAATGCAGATTTTAAAGGATGGTGAAATTCCTCAATGAAGCCATTTCTTTGAGGATCGTAAGCAGATGTGCCTATTCATTGCACACCTAAGAGTTTAGTTAGAATCTTTAAACATGACTCAAATTGGCATCCTTGATCAGTTGTAATAGTAGCTGCAACACCAAAGTGGGCGATCCAGTTTGCATAGAAGGCCTCTGCTACCGTTATCGCTTGAATATCAATGATGGGAATGGCTCCTGTCCATCTAGTAAACCAATCAGTAGCTGTTAGACAATACGTGAATCCATTGGAAGGTGGAAGTGGTCCAACGAGATCCATATGAATATGTTGAAATCATGTAGAAGTTTCTCTAAAATAATAGTGAAGGGGCTGAAGCGTGTTTGTGTATTTTAGATTTTTGCCATGAAATACACCATCTTGCCTAGTTCACGATATCTTTGTTGATATTTGGCCATGCATATCGTCTACGAACTAATTTTCATGTCGTTTGAATGGCTGGATGAACTGAATTATGTACACAATTAAAACACATTTTTTAAAATGCCTTGGGAATATAAGGTCTTGCTATGCCAGTAGATATATCACAATATAATTCTATTTCTGAATTTGGGTTTTTTTTTTTTTTTTTTTTTTTGTAAAGAATTGTTAAAGTATTTCTTTTAACTTATCATCTGTTGATTGTGCTTGAGCAATTTCTTCATGATCAATAAGACCAGTAACTTTAATTTCATGAATGCGAGATAATGTGCCGGGAACATTATTATCAATTCCTTTAATGTACTGAATATGAGTTGTGAATTGAGAAATGAAATCTAGTTGACGAGTTTGATGTGGGGAGCATTTTTCAAGTTTTTGTTTGAAAGCAAATATTAATGGTTTGTGGTTGGTAAGTACTGTAAATTTGTGCCACTTTAGCATGTATCTAAATTTGTGGATGGATGAGTATATTGTTAATAATTCTCTATCATAGGCACTGTATTTTGCCTCAGTGATTGTGAGCTTTCTAGGAAAAAGTGCTAGGGGTTCAAGTCTTTGTTTAGTAACTTGATTTAGAGGTCTGCCAATAGCATAGTCAGAGTTGACTTAAAGAATGAGAGATGCATTTGGCAAAGGATGTGCTAACAATGTAGCATTTGCTAACTGTTGTTTAGCAATTTTCAAAAACTTCACTTGTTTGAACAAACCAAGAAATTTTGTGATTGTCATTCTTTTTTGAACCTATCAAATATTAGCTGAGTAGTGCGTGATTATGTGCTGTATATGGCAGGTACCTACAGTAAAAATTTAGTAAACCTAAAAACTTCCTTAAGTCTAACATTTTCTGGTTTCTTGAAGTTCAGGATTGCATCCACCTGTTCAGGTAAAGGTTTAGTGCCATTCTTGGTTATTAAATGACCTAAGCCTAAAACACATTTTGAACAGAACTCCCACAGCATAGGAACCCCCAAAACACATTTGAAGTAATGAATTTAAGTCCATATTAGTTTAGTTTGTATAAAACGTTGGAAATATATTGTTTATGAAGTGTTTCATTTTCTGAGAATACTAGAATATCATCTAAGTATGTGTAACAAAAATCTAGTCCTCGCAACATTTTGTGAATGAAATGCTGAATGTTTGAGCAGCATTTTTGAGTCCAAAATTTAAGCAAGGGAACTCAAAAAGCCCGAAAGGGTACCCCTCTTTTAGGTATGTGCTTTTCATAGCTGGATATATGATGAGAAGTTCTTAAAATGTCTAATTTAGAAAACACTGTTTTACCATGAAGAGATTGAGTGGGAAATAGAATATAATCCAAAAACTGTAATTGAATTTTATGCTCTGGAATCTCCAACTGGTCTAATGCAGTAGTCATTTTATGTACTACGTGTAGAGGTGATGACCATTTACTCTTAGAGAGTGGACAAATTCCCTGTTCTATCATAAATTCAAACTCCATTTTTGTTTCCTGGTGAACTTCAAGTTGGAGCCATCTTGCTTTGGAGTGGACTGGTTGTCCTTTAGTTTGTACAATGAAGCATGTAATGTTTGATTGCTTTGCTATGAATAGAAGGATTAGTTAGTTTTGGAAATTTTCTAAGAATTTGGTGATATTGAGAGCATTCCCAAACAGTCTTAACATTAAGTTGAGTGTTGTGCTCTAAGTTGCCGCTTTAGCAAGAGTTGTTAAAGTATCGATGATCTTTTTTTATAATTGACTACTAATCCAAAATGGGGGTGAAATCAGCACCTATTATGGGAATTGAAACATCAGCTATTATGAAATCCCATTTAAAAGTTCGCCTGAGATCTAAAGTTAAATTTAGTTGTTTTGCTGTATTCTTAATATTAATTCTTTAATAATATTTGAAGCAAGTAACTGTAGTGTAGTAGCAGTGATATGCCTTCGTATTGGCGCTGGCAGGCAGGGTATGTCACTACTTGTGTCAACAAGAAACTTCATGTTTGTCATGTGTAATCTGTGGCTGCTAATCCAATATCCATGATTTGTTTCGGAATATGAGTGGAATTTAATTTTCCACCTGAAACGAGCATGGAGGTGTACATTTACAAGCATGAGTTTTAAACTTTTGGTGATAAAAACAATAACCAGTGTTGGCATGATTTGTGTGCGAATAACATTGCCTACATTTTTAGCAATTGCGGTTATCGTGGTATCTTGGATTTTTATTGTACTGTTTTCGAGACAATTGTTCAACTTGCTTAGTGAGATTCTCTATCTGAACTCTTAATTTTGTTCATTATTTGATGCTGCGCAAACAGTGAGTTGTGCGTCTTTTGTGATTTCTGAAATCTTATCTGCTATCTGGGGTAGATGAATTAAATCTTTCCAAAGATGATCAAATTGCTTGCATGTTGGAAGGAAGTCTTTGCATCCACAGGAAGTCATCATGTATTTTGTTTAATGCTATCTCTTTCATTTGTTTCAAAAGGAAACTAGGTTTTTTTTTTTTTTTTTTTTTTTTTTTTTTTTTTTTTTTTTTTGTCACCTAATTGTAATTCCGATAAAAGTTTACAAATTTTCTGTATTTCAGAATCTTGAAACTCTGTGATTAGTCTGTTTTTTAAAGTTAGATATTTGTCAGTTTGAGGAGGTGTCAGTATTAAATCTCAGACATGCTATAAAGTTGATGTGTCTAAATTTGCTACAATATATGAACATTTCATGTTATTGTTGGTAACTGTAGCCAGATAAAATTGGATTTCATATTGTCTTAGCCATAATATGATATTGATTTCCAAATGGCAGGTAATTTCAAGGTTATTCTATGAACCTGATCAGTTAAAATTTCATGTGGCTGTGGGTCTGTCACTTTCCTTGAACAGTGTTCATTGTCTCCACAACAAAAAAGGGGGGAATTTTATAAGTTTCATTTCAGTCTCTGAGAGTAAATGGTCAGTGGCCTTCCTAATTAGCTGTGTTTGACCACATTATTTATAGGCAGTGCAAAATGCAGGGAAGTAAAGAAAGAGACATATCTCCAAGTTCTTTTCATCTATTTAGTTCAGTGCAACAGTGAGCACGTGTGGAAAATATTTTAAGAAACACAGTTGAATATAAAGTGCACGATAACTGTACACAAATTATTGAATGTACGATTCTGTACACAAAATCACTACACAGTTGTCATGTGATCACAAACACCATTGAAAGTGAAATTTTGATACTTCTGTATTGGAGACCACCTTTAGCAAAAATGGATGCCTTTTCAGATTTTTCAGGGAAGTCCTAAGCAGTGTGAAGGATCAGTGGCTTGGCATTTCTTTTATTATCCGCTGCATTACATCAGGCTGTGTAAGAGATGTTTCTTAGTATTAAAAGTTATCCAATTTATCACAATATCTGTATGGATAGTTTTGCTGTGCAGTTCAATTTCCAGATGACCCAGCAATTACGTGAAGATGCATTTGGGTTTGCAATTAGTGAAGCTATTGCGGTATAGCTGTCAGATGAGTTGATTATTGTTTAGTTCGTTAATGTTGGGAGCCCTTGTCACCACTGTGGTAACTGGCGGCAGGTTGCATAGTTGACTCCGTGTGAAGATTAGTAACTAATTAAGTTGCTAGTTTGCTTGTTTAGTACATTGTGAAGGTTGCATAATACCTACTGCATTATTTTGAACTCAAAACATATTTATCACAAATTATGAGAAGCTCTGTTACATATGTATATGGAAAACATAGGGCAATTAATGTAGGTAAGGTTACTGTCCTCGTTATATGAGAATTTTGCTAAGGGCGGGTCTCTCTAGTTGAGAGTTCCAGAGCATTTCAGCATGTTGTTGATGGAAACAATCTGCAGATTGAATTAGCCACACCTCCTTAATTTTTCATTTGTATTTTTTACATCCTCTGATTTGTTATACCTGGAACGATAGCAGAAGTAAAACAAGATCATTGGTTCATTAGCCCTTCTGAAATTGAGAGGCTTTGATGACAGACACAGTGCAAAATCCTAAAATCTCTTGACGCGTGTTGTGGAGTTATGTTTCTTGTACTGTCAACTGGAATGAAATATTGTATCTGCAATGTCAGACCATGTCGTCTAACATATCATAAAAGCTGAAAACTGACTTGCGGGGACCGCATACACGATTTTCTCACCCCTGTCGTTCGCCGCAGATCATTTTGAATGAAGTAAGCAGTTAAAAGATTTACTTCTGCTATCAATGGTTCAACTTTTATGAGTTTTAACTAGCAAATTTAAAGCTGCATGATTTCTTTTAACAGAAAAACATTAATTTATGTTGTTTTCCCCTTTCTTTACATGCATGCGTTTGGGCACTTTGTCATTTTCTTTCACACCATTTCGTGTCTAAACAAGTATTCACTTCTGATTAGACACTGCTAGTCATTATTTATCTGTACTTGCATAGTCTAATATTCTCAGTTTACCTAGTCTCTATTCCCCCTCCATCTTCTCAATTGTTTATGCTAGAGTATCAAGTTGATCAGACATTCAACCCTAATGCTCAATATAATTTGTTTCTCATCATGAATGTTGTTTAGCTTTATATCATATGAATAATTTTTCTGGTATAATGATTGTCTTAAAATTTAATTAAGATTGGTTATTAGCATTAACTAATCCAAATAGTTTAATTCGTCACGTTAATGCAATTATTAACCAAACTCTCTCTTTTTTTTTTTTTTTTTTTTTTTTTTTTTTTTTTTTTTTTTTTTTTTTTTTTTAATATTTAGGACACTACGCTACATCTGTAGTTGCCTGCAGAAGAGTGTTATGGCTAAGTGGCCAAATGATCCATTAGTGAAAACACGAGTTGTAAGGTAAATCGTTCAAGTTTTTATATGAAAAATTTATATGTGATGATTATTTTAAATTTCAAACATAAATGGGAAAAAAATTGTGCATATATATCTATTTATTATGAATACATGCTTGCTCATGCAGTGTTTTTTTATGCATTTTTCGTGAGATATTTAGAGTGAAGAAAATATTGTCTGTTTTTTGCTTGGAAAATAGAAAACTAGAAACATATATTTGCACCATCTGAATAAGGAAGCAAAGAAAGTTGTTTAAAAATGTAAAATAAATATGGCTATAATTTCTGGATGCAAAACTTTGCTTCAGTTTTTCATCCTTTTGATGTCTCAGTTAATATGCTTTTTGAAAGTTTTACTTGAGTAAAAAAATAGAGGTAATTGCAACTTGACTCCCAGAAGTAATATATAATGTTTTAAATTGATAAAGATGTGTGAAAGGGTAGTGGAGACATGGAATTTAATTTTGCTAAAAGTTTTAAGAAAACAGTGGGCTTTCCAGTGGACAATTTTTGTATGATTAAATCGATGGAAATTTGTTGTATAATGGCAGTATCAATTAATTTATGATATCATTTCAGTAGTCATTTATCAATTCAGTTTTGTTTTTATTTACTGATGTATAACAGAATTGGACATTTTGCATGCTATTTATGGTGAAACAATTTGAATTGTTTAGTGAATGTAATTTTGTTTTTAAATGATAAGAAATCGTAATTTCACATTCTTATGAAATCATTGTTTTCGTTTAATCAAATAACCTGCAAGCGTATAATTGATATAAAAAATTGACAAATTTTTCACCATTTGATTTCTGATTAATTAAAAATCTCGAAAAAACTGTAGATATACACATGGAAATACGTTTGTCTTTCTAGGTATATATGTACACACATACATAGTAAAAATGCATGCAAAAAGTGCCTGAAAAAAATGTAACATCATTACAGCGTATATTTAAGAAATTAGAAGAAAGAAAACATTGGAATGATTTTGGCTTGCTGCTGCATTAGAAGATATGGAGTTTCATAATTATATAATGTCTTTTCTTTTTGGGCTCTAATATCTGATGGGCTTCCAGTGAGCATCCTTATGTACAGATGTATACTGTGAAAAAAAAAAGGGGAGGGATAGTTCTATATCTCCCGTTCTACTGGGCCGACTGACAAAATTCAAATTGTGATTTCCACGTCTCGAAAGCACAACTTAGGATATATATTAGATTTATATATAACATTGTTCTAACATTGGTATTTTGACCCAAAAATCGGACTTTTTCTGAAATAACATACCATTTTTTTTCCATATTTCGATTCTGTAACTCAAGTTATGCCTAGATATTAAAATTTTGTAAAATTTGGTGCAAAATTTATGGAGAAATTCAAATATTTATCTTGGGACAATTTTTTCAGTTTGTGCCAAGAATAATTCACTTGGCGAACCTCTTAATATGTGGCAACCAATTTTCCTTTCCCTTCCATTATGCTGGAGCGGAAGGGCACCTCATTCCTATGTTTTTACATTGTCATGAGCGGAAAAAAGTCACATTGTTTCTACTTCCAAATAAATTTAGAAAAGTGTCTAAACCACATTTGATGTTTTATCACTTTCAATAAATATGCCAAATTTCAAAGCATGCCAAATATATAAATTCATCTTCGGAAATTTTGAATAAAAACTGTAATTTTTTGCAGGTATGCTTAGAAATACGTCTACTTTAAAATGCTGGTAAAAGTTTTATAGATTATAATTAAAAAATTTTTTTTGAAAAATTTATAAAATTATTTAAAAATACAAATTTTAAAAATGAATCATAAAATAAGTGAAATTTTATTTGGAATGAACATAAATTTCATATTGTGAAAGGAAGAATCAAATAAGTTTAATAAAAAAGAGAGATTAATAAATATATAACAAAATTAACAATTAGGAGCTAAAATTTTAAGAGCTAATTTTTTAAAAACTATTTGTGCGATTTTTACAAAACTTGGTAGTTTGACGTAATTTGAGTTATAGAATTGAAATATGGAGAAAAAATGGTATGTTATTTCAGAAAAAGTCTGATTTTGTGTCAAAATACCTATATTAGAAGAATGCTTTATGTAAATCTAATACATATCCTAAGTCCTGCTTTCGAGACATGAAAAATGCAAGTTAAATTTCGTCAATCGGCTCAGTAGAAGAAATATAGAACTGCCCCCCCCCCCTTTTTTTTTTTTTTTTTTTTTAATTTGTGCTGTGTACATTGCGGTCAAAACCTATGGATTGTTATCGAGCAGGATGTTTGCAGGAAGCCAAATGAATACAGGATGTACCTGAAAAATATGTGACATCATTACTGGGTATATTTAAGTTAGAAGAAAAAAACATTGGAATGATTTGGGCTTGCTGCTTCGTTCAAAAGTTATAGAGCTTCAAAATTTCATAATGTCGCTGTCTGATCTGAGCAGATTACTGCATCACAAGTGCAGAGAAAGTGGTGTAAAATATTTTTGTCTTTTCAAGTAAATGGAAGCTAATGTCTCCATTTGCTTGCATTTCCTTAATTATAGCTGAAATGTGAATGCATGACTGAATGGTTAATAAATGGGACTATGATCCTATGAATTATGTGATTACAATGTTAGTAAAATGTGCTTATGTTTCAAAATAGATCGTTATGCATTATCTGCTAAGCATGATGATTAATGTGCATATTATAATATGTATAACTCTACATTATTGAATGAAGCAAATAATGGCATACCTCTGGATATTGCATGCTGTATTCCTTCATATTGTCATAATTTCTTTGTCCACTTCCAAATTCCTGCAGTAGAAATGGATGCTGTCAATTTGTCCTTAAAATATATCGGATAGAAAATTTTCTTCCATAGCTTTTCTCTGCCTGTATTTTAAACAACATCCTTGAATGCAATCATGTGGCATCATCAGTCAGTATTTTTATCCTATGTACTGTTACAATAACAAACTTCTTTTCACAAGTGATAGTTAATTCTGCTAGCATTGTGGGATGCATTTGATATCTTTCTAGATAGCTTTCGTGCCAAATCTTTGTTGTTAATAAGCTGTTACCGTTAACTCCACTGTAAAATGAGAGATGCTTGCTAGATAATCAGATTAAATTGTAGAATTCTGTATTCTTCCTTCCAATTTTTTATGCATTATTAATCTGTGAAACTTTGAAATTTCTAGGAAAATCTTTTTCCTCAATAATATGAAATGAAAAAAGAAAGAAATTTTTTAGAATTTAATTTTGAGACAGTTTTCTTCCACTCTGTTGTGTTAGCCTGATAACATGCCTCTGACAAAAGTATTAATAAATTTTTTATTAAAATTATCTGAATTAACTTTTTAAGATCTGCAATACAGAATTCTTTTATTTGTAAATAGAATTGCCCTATAGAATAAGTAGAACTTCAATGATCATATTATAAATACAAAGTGGAGTCAGCAAAGAAAATATATTTATAAAATGAGAAGTGGCTTAGTTTTCCCTACATTTTAAAATGTATATCTAGTTATTAGTTTAATCAGTTTTGTAGAATAATTTTCTAATGAATATATTAAAATAATATCAATGTGTATTTTTTAAAAGTTTCTTTTTTTCTTTAATTTTATTTAGGGAAAGATAAAGTATATAAATCTTTCTTTTAGAGTAACAGTTAAGATACAGTATTGTTTGCTAGGGTTCACTAACATAAAAGTATTTAAATAATGCAGATATTTTTATTATAAAATCTTGGGTGTAATTTACTTAATAATGTGTATTTTTTCTTTAAATCTTAGTGGGTTTATTTTCCTCCGACTTCTTTGTCCAGCTATATTAAATCCTCGCCAGTTTAATCTCATAAATGGTATGTATAAAATATTATTTTAAACTTAACATTCAGCATGTTCAGATTCTATGAATATTAGATTTTTGCTATTTTTACATTTATTTTGTTATATTTATTATACAGTCAAAAGTCGTTAATTCGGACCTCAAAGCTATAAACTTTCTGCGCATGCGTCGCTTTCACGCACAGGCGTTTACGAGTGCGTGTAAGACCTTTACGGCTGCGAATAAGTTTGTGCGCATGCGCGTTTAATGTGTAACGGATGGTATAAGCTAAGCTAAAATTATCTAATTCAGTTAATGTTGCAGATTGTGTTGTTCCTTAACCTTCAAATTGGATCCGGCTTATTATTTTTTGCAGACTGTTAGATCAATTTCATAAAAGTAAGCTTGAATTTTCGATTATGTCAAATAGAACTGTCAGCACTATTCTTATCTTCAGGGCAGATGTTTTTATTTTATTTGGCTTATAATTCCTTACTAAGTGTAGTATTTCATCTCGATGTACTCTGTCTTTGATATGATTTAAATCAAGTACCTCGTCATTATAATTCGCTTCCGATAGTGAAGAAAGGGACCCAGAGGTTATTGAAAACAAAAACATTTCGATTGACAAATTAGTCGGTATTCTCAACACAGCAATTATAGAACTTGAACAGCGGAACTTTGTAACTAAACAACAAGAAATTATGTCTGTTTAATAGAATTAAAGAGAAAGTATTATCACATAAAACAAAGCAACTTAAACAACTTACATTGAAAGAAATGTTTAATAAAGTAAACAAATAAATATTAAGCTTTTGTGAATTTTGATACCCTTTAGATCATAATTGTTCTTTATTTCATAAATTACGGTTTCATATTTTTAATTTTGTAATTTCTGCATGCCATCTTACCAGATTTAAACTGATGATCTATAATCCGGAAAAATCGATAATCCGGAATCGCCAAAGTCCCGACGAGTCCGGATTAACAACTTTTGACTGTATATGTTAGGAAATCTTCTGAACCTAAAACATTTTAAAGTTTTTTTACCTAAGTTTTATTAAGAATGTTGAGTATTTTCTGATTATCTGCAGCTTCACAAAAAATTGCCTATTTAATTGGTGACTTTTTGGATTGGTAAAAAATGTTAATTTGGTTGTTTGTACTGTTCATAGAAATTGTTCTCTTCTAATCTTCTATTTCTAAAGAAACCTGGTGTGATCTTTCTCATCGGCCAAGCTCCACAGTTCCATTACAATTCGTTATAACAAGAATAAAATGTACTTAAGTGGAGGCACATATACAAATGCTAATTAGCAAAATGACAAATAAAAAGCATATAAATTCATGTGTACTCAGATATGCATTGTGGTTAATATATGCTTAAGTTAGCTATTGGCTGAGTGTATACTCGAAAATACACCAAAAACAGGGCAGTTCTACTGGACATTGAACCTGGGTACCAAATCAATCAGAAAGTACCAAATATTTAAACTTTGTCTTAAAAATTCCCAATGTTAATTTTTAATTTTTTTTTTCACTATTTATATATTTGTGCCCATATTTAAAATGGTTAAAAAAAAAAAGTAACAGTGTTATTTAATGAAAACTAAAGAGAGCACTTCCAATTTAGGCTGGAGACTCCCGATTTAAGACTGTAGTCCCACTAATCCAATTTACAATGTATTTCTTCTGACTTTCTCTTATTCTTAGAATTTCTTCTGATTTTTATGTTGCTTAGCATAATAATTCATTAATTGCATCCAAAAAGAAGGATTTTCAGCATCTGAACGTGTTTGGTTTTTCTCGAAATTTCATAAAAAGTAAAACTAAAGTCATTTCATCAGTGGTATACTTTTGCTTTGAGTGTGAGAGTACATATGTCTAAAAGCATCATGTTTCAATTCTCCAATGAGCATCAAATGACACTGCAGGTCATCTGGCATACATTAGCTAAGTAAGATCGAAGTTGTTATTTCATTCATCTCGCTGCTGAGTGTAGTGAATTTCACGTGCTTTGAGAAATAGTTTAAGAAGTTGTAATCTTTTGTCTTAGTGAAGTCTGTGAAAAATGTAAAATACTCATATACTTTTCAAAAATCATAAACAGATGACTTTCTATTATTTTGTCAGGGAAATGTAATGCATTTGCAATGTGTCCTGTTTGTCAGTGCGATTTTTCGATTTCACTAAGTGTAGAGGCCAATGTTCTGAAACTTGTGCATGCAAAAGCACAATCACAAAGTGAGTTATATAGAAGAAAACAGAAAATTAAATTTTTGTGTGGGAACAAGGACAAAAATGTTATTAATGCAAAATGCCTGTTCTCTTCCTTTCTACTGGAGCAGAAACTGCTACTGAAATAATCAGGTCATGCTTCAGTTTTATTTAGAAAAATATTTCCCGATAATAAATTTTTGTGTGGGAACGAGGACCAAAATGTTATTAATGCAAAATGCCTGTTCTCTTCTTTTCTACTGGAGCAGAAACTGCTACTGAAATCATCAGGTCATGCTTCAGTTTTATTTAGAAAAATATTTCCCGATAACAAAATCACTAAAAAATACTCAAGTGCAAGGATCGAAATGGCTGCAGTTGTGAAAAAAAGTGGTATAAAAAATAAATCTTCAGTTATTGATTGCATCAGAACAGTTCCATTCTGCCTCTGTATGGCTAGAAGCAATAATACCAAGGCAAAATTATACCCATTTGTTCTTTAATCCAGAGTCTTCAGAAATTGAGTATAGTTTACGCTCTGTCCCGACTTCCAAAAGAGATTCAACAGGCCTGTGCTATATAAATAACACAGGTAATTATTAAAACTTTAAAAGAACATGCAATTCCTCTGGATAATTGTTGAGCACTTGTTGTCATGCGTGCCACCTGATGCGTTGTCAAAAACACATCAATAATTGTAGGCTTGTAGAATGGTGTTACAGGCATCTTAATGAAAGAAAGTTAAGATTTGCAAATTATGAGCTGCATCTGTCACCTCTTAAACTTCGCAGCTGAAAAGGGGGCAGTGTCTTTGCCAGCAAGTGTGGATAAACGCATTGCTGATATCTATTATTATTTTGCAGAGAGTTCTAAAATGAGGGTAAAATTAAAACAGTATCAGCAGCTGCATAATACTGAAATAAGATAAATTTTGAAACATATTATGCAATGGTTATCTTTAGAGAAATGTTTATCTCGAATCCTTGGCCAGTGGTACCCACTTCTTAAATTTTTATAGGAAGAGGTGAATGTCTTTAGAGTTAATATAAAATGCTGTATTGAAAGTTATACTTGCTTCTTATAAACTTCGATAAAGTTAAAAAGCAACAAGGATTGACATTCATTGGAGTTTAATTGGAAAGCTGCTGAAGGAATTTTAAAGTGTAGTGTTCTGTCTAGAATAATGTTGGCCGTTCTGACTATTTCTGACAAAAATGCAGGAGGATTTTCAATGTTGTTACTAAGACAAGATCTAAAGTTCTAATGTTGTTACAAAGACAAGATCTAAAGTCTAAGATCCAATATTAGTAATGCCCCATTAGGAAAACTGTTATTAGCAAAAGCAGGCCAACACCAAAGAGTGTCTGTCTTAATGAAAGCAAATGCCACTGTCATAAAAGCAGAGGCTATTCATAACATTTGTATGAAAACTGATTAAAATGATTTTTCATGCAAGTATTTTTGCACTATTTGTGTTTAAGAATAGTACCTGAACTTTTAAGGTATAAGTTAGTTACTATTTATTATTGATTCATTACTAAAAAGTACCTTTCTTTTGTATATATTTTTATCATTAAAAAATTCTTTTTGTCCTCATAAAAAATTCTCTTCTTAAAATAAATCTAATTTTTTAGTGTTATTGGTTTACAAGTATGCTAAAGGAAAGACACAAGATGCAAAATAATTAAATAAAAAGTTTAAAACTTAGAACAGAGTATGATGGTCTTAATTCTGTTTTATTTCAAAGTATGTGCAGACTTAAAGCAATTACGGGGTTCCAGTATCAAATAAATACAAAACAACATTTTTGAAAGTCATAAAATGGCCAATAGCTATAAATAAGTAAATGAATCGCCAAAAAATAAATCTGAAAGCTTTTGGATTTTGTGTTATGCCCAAAGAGGCATTTCTTTAATAATTTGTGTGTTACCTTTCTTTATTAAATATCATGTTCTTTGCACGTAAACCATAAAATTCAATTCAACAGCAGTATCACAAAATAATTTTAAAAGGAGCAAAGCTTTAAAATTTCCAATGCACAGTCTCGCGCAATGGAGATAAAAATGTTTTTTTTCGTACAGTGTTGCCATTGCTCGCTTTGAAATCGTTGAGTTTTTGAATCAAAAATTCATTAAAGTGTTACAAAATATGAAATCGATAATAAAACAACGTTGAAATTCTGAATTTGGGCTTCCGATGACCATATTCGGTAGCAGATTACGTTATTCAAAATTTGATGGATCTAGATACCGTTGTTTTATTCCAGTGCGAGAAACATACATACATTTATGAAGATTCTTCGTTATTTAATTTCTTTAGATATAATACAAGGCTATAATTTTCGGTGGCAACAGTTTTAAAAGTTAATCGACGTTTATAGTGAACCAATGCAAAATGCCAAAACGAAATTAGTAGTCCTTCAAGGCAAATTAGACTCTTTAGACTAAAAATATAAAAAATGTAAAAATATCAACTTGTTTCATTTTTAACACTCTTATGTTTTTCATTTATGTTTTAATTAAATCACAGTTATATTTTTTACCATTTCTAGTATCACTTAAGTTTATTCATTTCTTTCATGGCCTTTGAAATTAGGTACTTTAATTTATTATTTTAACTTATATACACACACGTATATATATATATCTATATATATATATAGATATATATGTGTGTGTGTGTAAGAGAAAAATATTAATTCAAAATTACAACTTAAATTAATAATAGCCCCTTAATTTTTCATTTTAATTTGGACACTTCCATTTTCCATTCAAAAATAGTAATAACTTTTTCTAGACCTCATCGTTTCTATATGAA